CTCCCCGTCGACATCCAAGATGACACCCTTGATGGGTTTCTTGACCGACAAGGACACGGTCGTTCCGTCATCCGCGACGCTGATGTCGAGACCAACGGCCTCCACGGAGGGGAACTTGATGAACTTGAAAGGCTCGGGCCTGTAAGGCTGTTATCATCGCAAAATCGAGTAGATAATATGAAAGGCTGACCAGTTAGCGTAGCGACTCAGTACGGCTCCGTCCGCGTCTAGCAGACGAGCAGATACGATGATGTCTTTGGGCACCTCGCTCTTCTTCGTCCGCGTTGGCTGTCCCTTCAGAGGACCCTTGTACAACTCCGTACTGGCGTTTGCTGCCAACGTCACGTCCTTCTGCCATGTCTCCGTCCAGTCGGACTGTAGGTCAAACTCGGTTACCTCTAACTTGACCTTCTTTTCCTCCAGCGTGCTGTTAGTGCCCCAAATCTCGAGAACGGTGTCTATCGTAGGAAATGCGGCGGATGTGTCGTCCTTGTGCGTCGTAACCTCCTTTCGGGTCATTCCGACGGTGAAGGGGCGGAGCTCCCTCGCAATGGCGAAGTACGCGGGTTTGGGTCGCAGGAAGTAGTCGACAATCGCCCACGAGCAGGTGGGCCAGCAGTCGCCCAGCTAAGATTCATCAGAAGATATACAACAACATTTCAACGCGCATTACCTGCCAGACGAGCGCGCCAGCGGTGTACTGCCGCCCCGGACCTTGCCAATTACGTCGAAAAAGACGATAGGCGGCGGCCAGCGTTTCGGCTTGCATAATCTGCGTGTAGTACACATAGCTGCGAAAGTTTGTTAGCGCGGCACTGCCAAGCTTGCAGTCGATCGGCGTCACCTTTCCATGTCGAACACGTGCTTGAGATTCTCGACCAGGTAAAGCTGCGAACGAATTGGCGAGAGCTCTTCTACGGACCGTCGTACTCACCTCAAGCCGTCTCTCGTACCCGTCCGCTTTGTTATGGTTGGCATTGACCCTGGACTGAGGGAAGCGCTCCGACGCATCACCGCCGAGCCAGTAGTCGACGGTGCGGATGTCGGGATATCCCTCCATGCCGAACTCGGACACGAAGCGGCCAGCGAGGGTATCCCAGTTTTGCCACGGCTCCTGCGAGCCGTGCCACACGTTCCCTGCAAGACTCGATCAGCATTGTCAGTGATAGGCGATAGCTGATTTAGGCGGACATTGGTGCAAGTCCCCAAGAGTCTGGTCCATGGCTGGCTTCCCTTGCCCGCTGTAGGGTGACGAAGGGTGGTAGTACACGTCCGACAGCTTCCCGACGATCGAGGGCAGCACCCGCTCGTAGATATGCCGCGCTGGAAACTCGGTCGTGCGGAAGTCCGTGCGCTCGTCTGAGTGGTAGTCAAAGTCAGACTTGAATATCACTTCGGCGACAAGGTAGTCTTCGTTGTTGCCAGCTGTTTGCAGGAAAGAACATTAGATGTTGTCTGACGCGCCGATAGCAAGACGGCGGACGCACCAAAGAGGACGAGGGAAGGGTGGTGTCGCAGGCGCTTGACATTCTGCTCTGCTTCCTCTTGCACGGACTCGAGAAACGCGTCATGCACCTGATATTGCGCGCAGGCGAACATGAAATCCTGCCATACCAAGACTGCCACGAATGAGATCATCATAAATATATGGCTGGGACAGCTCACTTCCGAGCTCTGTTGTATAGTGTGGATGAGCATTTTGAAATCATCATAAGCAGACTAACTGACCATCACATATATCATAGAAAATATCCGCCTCGTATATACCGCCGCCCCAGACCCGGAGCATGTTCTGATTGCCGTTCACGAGCAGTTCAAGCCAAGCGCGGTAGCGATTGGGCGTTATCCTGAGAAGCACCATCAGCTCAGATAGTCGCACGTTCGTACACCTGGGACTCACGTTGTATGGAATGAGTCCACAGGGATCCAGTTCGAGCCTTCAATGACCCAGTCAATGAGCAGAAGCAGGTCTTATGGACAACGCACCTGCACAGAATATACGGACGTTGTTGACCTCGAACAAAAACGTCAGACCAGGCTGGTCAACAAGCTCTTCCTGAACGACCCTGACGCGGCGAAAGGCGATACGTTGCTCCTTGGTATCCAATAGGTCACTATTCGGGCCGTGCAGCTCCAACTCGACCGTGTACAACGGCTGCGCGCCGTACCCGACCGGGTACCACAGCTGTATCTGACCGACCTCAAAGGAGAACTGGACCTCGCCGGTATCGGACTCGACGGGAACATCTGAAGATACGATGATGGCCCCGGACGAATCCTTTAGGGCGAGATTTGCCGTGAAAGGAGATGCGTAGCCGGCGACCCTGAAGGAGGCTGTCATCGCTACGTTGAGGTTTTCGTCGACTGCGCTGCGGACGTGCAGGTCGGCGATGCGGATGTCGTATGAGTGGAGGAAGACTGATTTCCAGGGGCCCACAGTTATGAGAGTCGGGCCCCAGTCCCATCCATAGCTGCAAAGCAGTCAGCATAGGTGCCCAAAAACAATTGGTGTACAGGAAGCTGCGAGAGGGCCAAGAGATGGACGGACGCCACGTACTTGTACTGCGCCTTGCGGACGTGCAGACGGCTCGAGTCGCCGCCGCAAAACATATGCTTACCGTGCTTCTTCTCCAGCTCACGCCCGCGAATGAACGCGCTATCGAATTCCAGCAAAAGCTCGTTGGCTCCCTCCTGCAAGAGCGACTTGACAGGCAGACGATAGAATAGGAATTGATTGTGGGCCCTACACACGTGTGAGCGATCGTGCGAAGGATCAGAGGGACGAGCGTACTGTAGAATGCGTTCGCCGTTCTGGGAAAAGCATCAGTCCAGCACCAACCACGAGGCCCGAACCATGAAGTATCAAAAAGACGCGCGGCACATACCAGGAATACATCAGCGAAGGTATCCAGTCCATCAAAGACTAGATCCACGTTCGATGTCGATAGTTCGTCTGGGGACACCGAGAAAATAGCCTTGAATGCCCATCTCGACTCGCCGATCCCTGGCATGTATCGGTGAATTCGCGCGACCGTCTAGGGAAAACATGGGAGTACGCACATTGTACATCCCACTCGTGTAGTCCAACGAACTGCCGGCAACGATGATCAGTGGGGTTAGTCAGGCGGTGTACAGTACACCGGCCATAGACTTACAGGATCAGGAATTCGCCCGAGCCTGAGCAGCTCGACATGCACGGTCGTCGGGAACTCGCAGCATTGCAGCCATTCGCCGTCCTTCGTCCCCTCGCCGCCGCCAATCTGCGTAAAGGACCAGTCGGTCAGAGCGCGGTTCGTCGACTCTCGTGACATGGTAGCTGTGAAACAGTGAGGGCGAAGTGTGTTGGGTGAGTGATTGCGTCGGGCTTTGGGCTTCGCCTTGTATGATGGGAAGAAGACGTGCATGCGCTATGTATGGCGAGTGCTCTTATAGGGATAATCGAGAACGGGGCGGGCCGTATTGCTCACCTGGGATGACGAACGAGTATGGAGATGAATCTGCGACTGAATTGGACTCCACTAAGAAGAGTATAGAGATCGTCTCGCAGGTGCCCTCGAGGTGACGCCGCAGGAAGTTAATGAGCTCGTTCGATAAGGCCATGATCCGTTGCTCGTCGCAGTGCATGTCATGTTTGGCGTCCAAAGACGTGGAATAAATCTGGATTAATGTTTTCTTCACGCCGCAAGCGCAGGCAGATCGACGAAGGATCCCAAGCGAAGGGAATGGCGAGAACAACGCAGTTGTCAATTAAATTTATGTTCCAGCGCTACGACCAGCGCTACGAATTCGTTATCAGCGCGAGTGAGACGCACCGGAGGGCAGTGCACTCGCCTACACAGCGCTTGATCCAATCGCAACAATGACCTACCATTGCTAACGGTGATCACAGTGGCGTCTACGCTTCGCGAATTCTACAGCGGGCCGCTTTGATTCTCATGCTGAGTCAGAAGGAGTGCGAGTAACTCGTCACCAACGACTGGACATGACCGTTGTGGACGACTCGGAGGTTTATGGCCTCACGTGAGGGCGTGACCCGGCGAACTCCTTCGGCAAACGCCGACGCCATCATCGGCGCGAACATCCCGATCCGACGGACTGCCCGGTGTTAGGCGCGCGTTTAGAGCACAGTCATGTCGGCGCGAATTACTGCCGCTTCTCTCTTCCGTACCATCTCCTCGACCGCCCCCCGTCGCGTACCCACTTTTTGTGCATACAAATCAGTCTTTGCTGCTCGCAAAATGTCTTCCACCGGCCCCGTCCAGACTCACCCCTCGCTCTCCATCGTCGCAACCCCCAGTGCGTACGCGCGGTAGCTGGAAGGTTATGTACCCCCTCTGAACGCGATCTGTGCAGATGCGCCTGCTGCAATTGGTCCCTACGCGCAGGGCGTCAAGGTGGGCGACCTGCTCTTTGCCTCGGGGTGCATCCCCCTCGACCCGGCCACAATGCAAATCGTGGACGGGGGGATCGAGGCGCAGGCCCATCAGGCGCTCAAGAACCTGAAGGCCGTCGTCGAGGCCTCGGGTTCCGAGATGGGCAAGGTCGTCAAGTGTGTGGTGAGTGACCCCACCTATCCCACCCCACTTATGCCTGAGAAGTCCTTGTGACTGATGTTCGTGTGCGCAGGTGTTCATGAAGAACATGGATGACTTTGTGGCCGTCAATGGCATTTATGCTCGCTTCTTTGGTGAGCACAAGCCTGCGCGGTCTGCGGTCGAGGTGGCTCGGTTGCCGAAGGATGTCCTGGTAGAGATCGAGTGCATTGCGAGGTGTGTGGATGCACACGAAAGCAAGCTATGACACCTTGAACTTACTTCTCGTCGTACAGCCTGAAGTAGTTGTCCATCTCAGCAAGCCCAAAACAGTGTATGTATGTACAGAAGTAGAAAAATGTCCTTTCAATGAAGCACCTCGAGACGAACATTGGAAGCCAGCCGTAGTGGTGGTGCGCCGTCGCTTCCGTCCAAAAGGAGCAAAAAGAGCAAAAAGAGGTAGTAAGTAGCCCACCGCGAGGGTCGAACTCGCAGCCTTCAGATAGTCTTTCCCGCCTGATTGACTTTGTAAGAGTCTGACGCTCTATCCGATTGAGCTAGGCGGGCCATGTCAATGCTATTTACGTGGCAGTTATATGGTTTGCCTTGGTGCCTTGGCCACTCCATCACACGGTCACCGGGGCGGTGTTCCATACTTACCTCTTCCTTCAACCGTCATGAAGTCCTTTGCGAGGCGCCTTTCCTTTATCGCATTCGCAACATCTGTCCTCGCGCACGGAGGGCACCATGACAGTCCTGGGCCAGAGAAGGGCGAGACAATACAGGAATACGCACAACGACACGTATGTCCGTGTTACGCGTGAATAGACCGCGTACTCACAGCGCAGGTAGATGTCCAAGGAGCACCATATGTGAGAATTAAGGACCGCAAGCAAGGCATCGGTCTGACAGTCTCCAGTGACTCGTTCGACCTCCCAAGCTTCTTCCAGTTGCACGATCTTGACGGGTGCGTGCTCCGCTTCCTCACTCCACGCCACCTTACACATGTATAGCGACGGCGTATGGAGCCGCGCCGAGATAGAGGCTATCTACGGCGTGCACCACGTCTACTCGCAGAAGAAGTCCAAGGACGACGTCGAGCATCAGAAGAAGGCAGACACCATCGTTGAGACGGTGCTCGAGAAGATGGACACGAACAAGGACGGCGAGATCGCTCTCGAGGAGTTTGTTGTAGTAGGCCTCACTGGGCTGCCCAACTTCGACAACCTGGGCGCAGAGGGGCATCACTACGACATAGAGAGCGGTACGCCACATGTTTAGGCGGGTGCGGGCGCGTGCTGACGTTGTATACCAGAGTTCTTCTTGCATCATGAAGGTGTGTAGCGCGCTGCCGCCCATACCCATCCCCCAAACACATGCTCCTCTCATGCCATATAATTCGCCCGAGCGCAAGCACCATGAAATCATACTAAACCACTCACTACAGAGGAATTCCACTCCACGCCCGAGACCCAAACCGACGAGTCTTACAACCACCCGAGGACATCGAGCACTTCGCCCACCACGAGGCCATCGAGCGGAAAGAGGCCGAGAAGGAGGCCAAGTACCAGGGCATCTCGTCGATGAGGCGCTCGCGCAGCACGACCCCGACCACAGCCCATCGTCGAGAAGAAGCCGACCCGCCAGCCGCCGCCCGAGAAGCAGGATCCCTCGGTGCGCTTTGCCGGCGCCAAGGACGAGGCGGGCAAGATGGGCGAGTGGGGCTCGGGCGAGGAGGGGTACAAGACCCGGTGAACCCGGGCGAGAAGATGCGGAAAACTTGCCGTACAAGGTGCGTTGGGCTGTTCAGGTGTTGGGTATATCTGCCGAGCTAACGCGCAGATGCAGTACAAGTTCCGCCGCAGCTGGGGTGATTTCTGAATTTGTTGTATGCGCTGGGCGCGACTTGCGGGATGGATCTGGGGAATGCGCGTACCGTACTTACTGTATCGCGTTCTCTGTCGTTGGTTTGGGCGCTGGCTGGCCGCTCGCGTGCATGTCTTATTCCTGTAAATTATGCTCTGCCGTCAGATGAAAGTCCGCCATGCCAAGTGTATGAGAAGAGAAGACGAGAGAATAAGTTGAAGAGAAGGAACGTAAAGCTTGCAGATGTACTAGGCTACATGAAGATGAGTAACAAAACCGAGATGCAACGAATCCAACCGCCGCAGGTATCACCAGAATCCTCGTCCGCCGCCGACTCATTGCGCGCGTCCGTCGAACATGTCCTCCATCAGGCTCTTGTGCACGGCCTCCCAGTCCACATTGCCGTTGCTCGCGTACAGGCTCTCGTATGAGGCCATGGACACATTCGAGAAGAATGGGACCAAGTCCCGCACGGTTTCTACTTGCTTGATATTCGCGAGGAATGGCCGTCGCAAGGGACGCCCAACAGCAAAGGTTGAGGCGCCTACTGGACTGAAGGTGCCATTGCCGATGGCGGGGGTCGCCGTTGGCAATGCGCCAGCAATTTCGGCGAGCTGGTCCATCATGGCTTCAGGGAATGCATCATCCGGACGGTAGATCGCGTCAACGGTGTCGGTAACGAACATCCATTCGTGGCTGGGAAAGGGGTCACTGAGCGCTCAATTGAGAAGGCAAGCGCGACTCACATCTGGAATTCCTCCGTCTGTAACGTGATGAGCAGGTCGAGGCACTTGCAAGCCGCGAGCAGTAATGGTAGGTCATCCGACCCATCCGGCGGTAGGTTGAGCATCACTTGCTCGAATAGGCGATACTTCACAAAATCAGTCAGTACCTCGTCGGTCATATCGGGTCAGCATGCTCACCATCTCCGTGAGTAAGACCGGCCAAAAGCTGGTCAAATTGTGCGGCGAGAGCCTACACAGCAAAACCCGCACGCAGAGATACACCTCGCTCTGGACAATTGGCGCCGTCACGTTCTTGAGGGTCTCGACCAGCTTCTCCTGGATGGTCGGCAGCTGTGTGATGAAGCCGTTCTTGTCTCCACAGAAGAGCGCGAACGATAGTCTGCGCAGTTGCAATGATCGGAGCAACAGCTCGTACTCCTTATTCGTGAAGATGTTCGCGGACGGTGCAACAGCAACCTTGGCTGGTCGAACACCGTCAGTAGGCAGAAGAAAAGTTGAGAGAGCGTACTCACACAAAAGCTCCGGGAACGCAGATTTATCCGCATGGAATAGCGACTTGACGATCGGTTTCCACTTCTCAGCGGTCTCGATGGAGCAACTGAAGAAACGATTGTCGTTCAGCAGCTCCACAACCGGTGCACGCCAAAGTTTGAGTGCGGCTGGTATGTGGGATAGCTCTTGCACTATTGCAATGATAGGATCGTCGACTTCCATCGGTCTAGTGCTGCGAGCAGCTGTGAGTTGGGAGGTTTGTGCAAAGATTGGGTAGACGGACCTCGCTCTGCCCTTCATGGCGGGACTGACGATGTAATAGGTGATGTTGTTACATGCGCTGACAACCTTGTCGTTGTCCAGCAGGTATCGTCGCAGATTGGGGAGGCGGTCGAGGCCAGATACGAGTTGATCTGGTACGGATGAGCCTGACGTCGTATAACAGGCAATGAGACGCTCACCTCGATCACCATCTCATTGGTGCTGCTGATTTGGCTAGGTCGTTGTTCAATGAAAGCGTGCTGGCGTTGACCTTCTCGTCGATCTTCGCGTCTACTTCATAGTCAGTACTCGAAGATAGTGGGAAGCATGACGGAAATACATACCTGGCCGAGGCGACTCCCTACCAGTGCTCCCCAAACTATCCTTCGTCGATCGTCGTATCCAGGACCCAGAGTCGTACGACCGGCCGACATACATAACGCAGGAGTCCAAAAGCTTGCCAAGCGAGTCTTGCAGCTCTTTGCGAACACGTCGATCTTCCATCGCCGTTGTTTGCGTGAGCTTATCCGCCAGCACCGAGATACATCTGCATCGAAATCAGACCCAAGCCAGACTGTGACGTGATGACTGACCTTAAGGCCGGGTAATGCTGTGGCTTAAACTCGCGGGAATTGCCGGTGATGTCCTTGACAAGTTGAACAAAGCGACCCCACACCTGCAACACCAGAGGACCTTCTAGCCTCTGCAGATACTGCTCCAGAAACTTGAACAGCACGGCATCAGTCCTGCAGCATATAGTCAGCCATATTTGCCTTCATCAAATGTTTAGTTCTTACACGCCAGGGTTGCTAGTCGCCTTTCGCATTTTGTCGGTCGCAGCGGTGGCGCGGCTGGCTATGCTATCGCAGATCAAAGATACAACATTCTGCGCGCTGGCAGTCAAGACGTCGACGAGTTCCATGGCGGGATCCTCTGTTTTCTATGATCGTGTCAATTGAGTCTCAGCTGCAGACAGTTACGGACTGACCCGTTCGCGACTCCAGCACTCAACAACGGACTCAAACACCTCCACAGGGTACACCCGATAAAAGTGCTCCAGTACTCTTCGACATCGGAGCCGTGTGCGCGAAAAGATTAGGGCGAGAGCGTCATCGGTTGATGAAGGATATTCAGGTGGAGTCCATAGGAAATTGGACCACAACTGATACAGAACGCGAACTCCTTCTCGTAGAGCACGATAACCGGGGGATTGTGTCTGCATAGTAAGTCTGCAGGTGAAGGATAGGATACAAAAGAATGCTCACTGTAAGCTGCTCATCTCCGTTGGTGTTCGCCGCATCTGAGCTGAAGACGCCCGACACGTAGCCAAACAGGCCTGTTGTCTCTTGCATGGGCTTCTCCGGCATCATTCCATCGTCCTCCACCGATGCTGGATCCGACATGTACGCCAGGCTGAGCAAACCAATCGCTCCAATCCATTAAGCAGCATGACGATCTCCGCATCCGTCGAGGATGAGAAAGCATCGAACACGAAGCTCTTGCCTCGCGCAGCGGCGTCGAGCACATCATGCACGGCTCCGCCTAGCTGTCGACATAGACACTCGTTGAGTGGATTGACGACCACTTGCAGCGCCGGCTGGAAGTGCGGTACGGCCATAAGAATGAAGTCGAGCCAATGCTGAAGAACCGGGCGATTGCTTGGTACGCTGACACCATCAATGAGCGTTTGGACGAGCAGCGGGTTGACGGAGTAGGCCGCGCCGTCGTCGGACTCAATATGGCTCATGGCAGATGTGTTGACGCTCATGGCATCGGGTCCGCGACTGTGTCCTGCTGTCATGGACGCGCCTTTCCTGACTTGCACTGGGTTGATGGCCGCGGAGACAAGCGAGTGAAGCAGGTGGAGGAGTTTGTTCTGCAGGTCGAGTCGCGACGCATGGACGCAGAAGAACAACTTGCCGATGACTGCAGCCTCGACCACGCCAACAAATAGCGGGTCGATATCGCCCCTTGAGATGATAGCTTGCAACAGTTCTACCGCGGTCGACTGTATGGTGATGTTGAAGTTTTGCATGGACGGTACGAGGGCCTTCTTTGGTTCTGCCTGCAATAACCTGTCCCATGAGCATACGCGCACAATCATATCTGCTGCTTCACGTACCGCAGGAAATTCTCAATCAGCACGTCTGCGTATCCTGTATCCGCGTCGCCTCCGCTCTTCTCCAGTCGGGCCACCAACTC